ATTTTCTCAAATTATTTTGAGGGGAAAGAAGAACAACACAATAAGTGAAAGTATCAAAGCTTAAAATTTCTGGACACTAGAATTTACTTTTTGTTTGTGGCATCGTAAGATTTATTTCACCATGAAAAAAGTTTAAGCTTGGAAAATGGAAGTCAAAAATTGGGGAAGAAGAAGAAGAAGAAAAAAATTTGGTAAATTGAGGCTCTCATGCGCGTCCAGTGAGTGTATCACACTTGTTATGCCATCTCAGCAAAAAGTGTCAAATAGACATAGCGAAACATGACATGACATGTCTAAAATGAACAAAGTTAAATTAAGGTGTCTTACTGAAAATTAGTATCAACTTCACGGCTACCAATGGGTTTGACCTAAAATATATAAATAATTTTAAGCATCTAATAGGAAATAATGAAATTTGGTGGATTAGCATAGGTTAGAAAATGGTTAGAAATTAATTTATATGCTTATTTAATTAATGAGTTGAATTGAGTTTGAATATGTCCTAAAGAGAGTTGAATAATCTATAGGTAGTTATATTTGGATAAGACAAAAGATTCCATAAATTACGATAGAAATCATAACAACACATTCTAACTTAATTCAGATCCTATTACCCTCTTCACTCCTCTAAACTCATTTTTTTTTTTATATATTTTCGTATATGTTTTATGCTGATGTTACATCTTCAATTAGGTAAAATTAGTCACATATAACACGCACCGCCGCGTGTATAGTTATTTCATTTTTTATTTATATTTTTTTATTTTTATAAAAAAAAATCTTCTTATTTTCTTTATTTTGTATTTAAACTAAGTTAACACATGTAATTTTTAAAAAAACTTTTTACCATATATTTAAACTTTTTTTGCTTTCAATTTTTGAACTTCATTTGGGTTTTTCATTCTTTTCTTTCTATTGATTTTATTTATTCCTTTTATTTTCTTTGCCTTTTCTAAATTCGATTTCAAATTTAATTTCAAGTTTTTTCTATTTAAGTCAATTTCTGAAGATTTCGAAACAAGTGAAGAAAATTAAATAAAATATTTAAAAAATTAAAAAATTAGAATTAAATGAAACTTTTAAAAAAATATTATTATAAATGTACGTCATTTTTAAAAATAATTAAAAGTGAAAAGATAAGAAGTTTGTAAAAGAGGAAAATAAATAAATAAATAAACTCGTTATGCAACTTTTGAAGATGTTTCTTTAATTCTTCGATACATGTACAATAAGTTTAATTTATTTTTCGCTTCACTCATTTATCGATTCATATTCTAGCGAGAGTCTTTTCTTGTTGAAGTTAGTTGCATTATTTCCTTTGTTCATCTCGCTAAGGATTGAAAACACCATAAAAACTATCATGAAGACGGTAAAAAACAGTAAGAAGAAAAAGAGAAAATGTGAAAAAAACATTCAAAAGAACTTTGGAGCCGTTGGTACAGATTTACTGATTTTGATCTTCTATATCACTTGCTTCTTATTATATGGAAAACTTATTTAGAAAAATTGTTTTATATCTTTTTTTTACCTGATATAATATTTAAAGTATTCTAATAGGAAGATAATATGTTTTGATGGATTAACATATGCTAAAAAATGGTTAAAATATGATTTCTATAGGAAAAAAGAGGGTCATAAGTTGTTTTATTCAATAAATTCTCGTTCTCTTGTCGATAATAGCTTCCATCAATATTAAAATTTATAATCCGAAAAAATAAAATAAGTGAATAAGTGATGAACAATTTAAAGTCAATCTTCAATGGGAAAAAAATCACATCTTTTTTTAATTTAAATAAACTATTTCTTTTTATTTTTTTATTCTTTTTATTTAAAAAAAAATAAACCAAGAATTATCTAACCTAAGGAATTTCTAGCACATCAATAACTACTCATTGATAATGTCTTCAACCAATAATAAAAAAACCCCCAAAAAAGGGAAAACAGAAAAAACCGAGAGAGAGCAAATTATTGAGAGTCGGGCATAAATGCAAACCTTTTTTTTTTTCTTTCACTTTATAAAGATTAAAGTTTTTTTTTTTCACAAATTGGTCTTTTATTAAACATAAAAAATATCACAATGAATGAGTATCAGCAAGGAGTGCTAGACCTTACCTTACTAATCCTAACGTCTATTACCTAACAAGCATGAAGAAAATAAGAGCTAGAGAGAAGTAAGTATTTTCCAATCATCACAGAATTTGTAATACACTCCATGGTTATATTACAAATGAGGATGCTTAAATAAAGTACAAATATGTCAACCAAGAAGAAAGTTGAGTTATCAGCCCTCAAACTTTCTATTACAAACGTATAAATTAAAAAATATTGATTGCCCATCAAAATTAATTTGAAATATTTTTCTCTTGTCTTCTTCTTCAAGCCTATCCAACAACACTTGAATATTCATACTTTCTTTATGTATTTATTGGCTCTTGTTGAACCTATTGATATTGTCAAATGGTTCTGCTTTGTCTGTCGCATCGGTAGGTGCCTTGGAACAAATTCCTTTGTCATTTTACCGTCCGACTATGTTACCTTCCATGTGTCTTTTTTTTGCTTTTGTTGCGTCGACTTCTTTGTTGCCTAGACAATGTATCTCCTTCCCTAGACACTCTATAAAGGCATATGTTGAACATATCTTCCATCTTCGTATCCTCGCCCAAAACAAACATATTGTCTTCCTTATCTTCATGAAGAGAATTCTCGCCCAAATCAACTGTATTGGAAATTAAGGCCCTTGACTCATTCTACTTATTCTTATTTGCAATCACACATTTAGGCATTGACTTAATTTGCTATTCAGAGTAGGTGGTGAGACCTGCTTTTCTTGGATCAAATTGTTGTCATTCTCTGTTAACTTTATTTGCTTTTCAGTAGTCTTCGATAAAGCATCAAAGCTATTCAAGCATAATAGGCCTCTTGAGGCATTACTAATATCTTATCTCTTCTCACTATCATCATGAAAATTTCTAGTCCCGCCCTTTTAACTATATGGAGATTTATTTAAACTAGTTGAAGAAAGACTTCGATTACTAATTGAATTTTGGTGTGAAACAACTGTCCAATTTTTAGTTGCATTCTTGGTTTTATTTTTCAACTTGTAAAATATGTTGTCCATAATTTTTAGCATCTTCAACATTATATGTATCCATTAGTTTGTGTCCTGAATTCATTATTTTTTTACCTGAACCAACTCACGGCTCATCAACCCCAACTCTTAGCGCGTTCCCCCTTTGTTTTCAGTAGTTGTTTGAACACCAATATTACTTGTACAACACCCATTGAGTGTGCACAACTTTGCTCAGAAGTGACAACAACCAATTGTCGATCTAGAGAAGTAGATTTACTTTGATCGACATCTACAACAATTCTTTTCTCATTTAGTATTTCTCTCGCATCACCTTGATAATGTTCACTATCGATAGTACCTTTTGAAGCAACTTCAATGGTATCATTAATTTAATTTCTATTTTAATTTCTTTTCAAGATCAAATGACAATTATATTCATCATAAACTTTGTGCTACATAATTGCAAACAGAGGTAGATTATCATATAAAATCTCTTGAAAAATCTTGATCAATTTATCAGATTTTTCATCTATAAACTGCAATGTTATACGATTTGAAAACTTTTCCATTATATCAAGTATAATTACCTTGATCCTAGTTGTTCTAGGTCTTGATTTTATTTGGGTAGCTTTATCTATAGCTATTGATTTTCCAACTGCCGATGCTATAGACAACAAAGACTTCTTTGATATCAAGATGTTTCGGAAATATTGACCTTAATCCTTCAAATCTGACGCACCATGCGATAATTTAAGCACCGCTGCTTAATGCAATCCCTCTTCAATCATAAAGTCTTGCCTTTCCTCCATTGTAGACGTGATAGTAGATTCTCCGTGAATTATTTTGATTGATTTTGCGAATGTTTTTGAGTTAATTAGGGCAGGTTGTTTAAGATTTATAATATTGGAATTGAAAAGATTGACGTATATGGTGGTTTGAGGGTGGTGGGGCGGGCAGATTGTTTAAGATTTATACTCCCCAATTCATTTTTAGATTAAAGTATTTACTTTGATAAAAAAATATATATATTTAATCTGTCCAGACTAAACAATTTTTTAAACCGTGATGTATGAGATTTTGATAAAAAAATTTATCGTCTTTACATTTAATTTCTTCCCAATAATCTAACAATTTATTATTTATTTTGTCGATGAAAATCTAAGAGTATTCACTTTTATCAAATTTAAAGATAAAAATTACTCATTATGAGTATCTTTTAAGGGTCCATTATAAATCTAAAGATAGACTTTACATGGAGAATTTTCAACTATATTTTTTTCAGAACATTAAAAAAAATCCTATAATAGAAAGGGACACTAAGGATTTATTGTATTGTATCCCATCGTTGGAAATATCGAATGAATTAATTACTTCCCTTTAATAATTAACTTCTGAATTTCTTTTGTTTGTGCTTTGTATCAATAATTTGGGGATTTAAAAAATTTAACTTATGAGTTTAATCTTTAATATTTTAGGATTATATTAAAATTTACATAAAATCTAATTGTCCGCGTAAAAAATTGGATTTGAATAAATTTACAAAGAAATAACTTGATCAGTCCCTATCAACATAATGATGCTTTTTATTACAATTTTTTACTATTATGTGTTAGATATCGAACTTTGTAAGTGAAACTGGCAAGCACTCTAAGTATTTGCCTAAAAAAGAAAAATTTTAACTATACCTATTTTGCACTTAACATTATTATTTTATTTCATTTTGCAAGTTGCATGAGAACTAAGAATGAATAAACTTGTATCATTGAACGTGATGATTGACTAATTTTTAATTTGTAATTAACTTGATTTAATAGTAGTAATTCGAAAATATTTCTTGGTTTTAAAGGTCTGGCATTAATTTTATTTTTTATTTTTGATTTATTTGAGTTTTTATTCTTATATACTTTATTAAAAAGACTATTAAACAAAATTATGAGATAACTTATAATACATTTCAGCAAAGTTAAATATTGAACGACTCCGGTACAAACCATGATAGCAATGAAATGAAAAAAAAAAACATTGCTAATACAATAAGATTTTTCAAAGAGAAAACTACAATTACTTTTTATTTTAATAAAACCCAACCTTTTTTTTCCATGGCATGAGCTGAAGCATTAAGGCCACACTAGAAATCTTTGGTTATAAACTCTACTTTTCATCAGCAACTGTCTTTACATTATTTGACAAAATTTGTCAATTTTTCATACTGCAAACAAAAGGCCATACAAAGTTAATAATCAATTTACTAGAGCATTTCATGAATTAATATTTGATGAAAAGAAAATTAACCTCCATTTGTAGTTGATCAAACTCCGTATACAACTTTTCAAGACGTTCCTTCAATTCTTTGATACATGCACAACAAATTGATTTTTCGCTCCACAAATTTATCGATTCGTCTTCTAGGGAGAACCTTTTGTTTTTAAAGATAATTGTATTGTTTTCTTTGTTCATCTCGCTAAGAATTGAAAACATCATAAGAACACATATGAAGACAGTAAAACAAATAGCAAGAAAAAAGAGAAAATGTGAAAAGGACATGGAAAAGAACTTTGGAGAAGCCATTTATAAATATTTTTAGAGCAATTAATAATAAAGGAACTTTATTTATTTTAGTTTTTTATATCACTTGCTTCTTATAAGAGGGAAAACCATTTTGAATAAAAGTTTTTATTAATTTTTTACCAAATATAATATTTGAAGTATCTAATAGGAAAATAATGAATTTTGATGGATTAGCATAGGTTAGAAAATGGTAAGAAATTAATTTTTTATACTTAATTTAATTAATGAGATGAATTGAATTTGAATTTATCCTAAAGAGACTTGGATAATATATAGATAGTTATATATTTTGGATAAGATATAAGATTCCAAAACTATATTAGAAGTCATAACGATACATCTTAACTTAATTCGAGTCCTATTACCCTCTCCTTCCCTTTAAACTCAATTTTCTATATTTCGTGCACGTTTATGGTGATGTAGCACCTTCAAGGTAAAAGTAATTGCGTGTCTGACACGCATCGCCACATGTGTTTTTTTTAAAAAAAATATTTTTTTTTAGAAAATTCTTTTTATTTTGTTTATCTTGTATTTAAACTAAGTTTATACATGTAACTTTTTTAAAAAAAATTAACTTATATTTAATTTTTTTTCTTTCAATTTTAAACTTCATTCATTGTTTTCGCTCTTTTTTTTTATTGATTTTATTTATTCCTTTTTTATTTTCTTTGCCTTATTTTAATTAGATTTCAAATTTAATTCAAAATGTTTGTATTTAAGTTAATTTAGAAAGGATATCGAAGAAAATTAAGAAAATATTGAAATAATTAAAACGTCAAAACTAAATGACATTTAAAAAAAATTATTATTATGTTATTATTATAAAATATATGTAATTTTTTAAAACAACTAAAAGTGAAAAGATAAGAAGTTAGTAACAGAGGAAAAGAATGAAAAGTTCAATCAAACTTTTTATGCAACTTTTCAGATGTTTCTGTAAATTCTTCATACATGCAGAAAAAGTTTGTTTTTTTAAGAGAGGTCATTTTATTAATTTTTGTAGAGCAAATTAATAAAATGCATACCATACATTTTTTGAACTGCGATACATTAGATTTGATAAGATTTTTCTCGTCTTTGTATTTTATTTTCTCCCAATATAATCTAACAAATTCTTTTTTTTTTTGTCGATGAAGATCAAGAGTGTTCACTTAATCACTTTTATCAAAATTAAAAGATAAAAATTACTGATTAATATCTTTAAGGTCCATTATGAATCTACCCAAAATAGAGTTTCCATGGATTATTTTCAACTGTATATTTTTTCAAAACATTAAAAGATTTCCTATAATAAGAAGGGTCATTAAGGATTTATTGTAGATTTGTCAATTAAAATATGGATATCGTTTATTACTTCCCATTTAATAATTGATCTGTGATTTTCTTTTATTTTGTGTGTTGTATTGATAATTAAGGTGGATTCAAAAGTTAATCTATTTTAACTAAAAAAAAATATTTGACTTGTGAGTTTAACCTTTAAGGCTTTAAGACTGAAGTTATTATGTCAAATTATGAGTGAACGAAATCATAGTTTTTGAAATTCTTATTGGTCAAGTTTTACATAAATTTTAATTATCCACATAAAAATGTTGAATTCGAATATATTATCATTTATTAACAACGAAATAATTTGATCAGTCGTTATCAACGATGCTTTTTATTTATATGTTCTACTATTATGTATTTAATATTGTTGAATTTGTAAGTGAAATTGGCAAGTAGTACTCTTGGGCCTCTTAGTATATATTTGCCTTAACAAGAAATTTTTTGACTATGCCTATTTTGCAATTATATTAATATTTTACTTGGTTTTGCAAGTAACATGAGAACCGAATAAAGGAAACATTTGTACCATTGAACGTAATAATTAACTAATTTTTAATTTGTAATCCTTTAATTAATTTAGTAGTAAAATTAGTAATTAGAAAATACTTGTCTCGAATGATTTTAAAGGTCTGCCATTACTTTTAATAATTTCTTTTGGTTTATTTGACTTCTTATTCTAATACATCAAAAAGATTATGAACAAAAATCATGAGAATGAATATTGTACATTTTAACAAAATTAAGGTACAGAGAACATGACAACGATTAGATTTGATAAAAAAAAATTGTTATATACAACTAAAATTTCAAAGAGAAAAATTCAATTACTCTATTTTTAATAACTCCCAATCTTTTCACTAGAAATTTTTGGTCCAAACTCTACTTTTCACTAGATACTGTCTTCACATATTTAACAAAACTTGCAAACTTTTCATAAGTCAAATGAAAAGGTCAAATTATAAAGTCAACAATCAATTTATTAGAACATCCCATGAATAAATATTTGATAAAAAGGAAATTAATCTTGGTTTACTTTTCAATATGCATCCTTAGTATTTGCCTAAAAAAGATTTTTTTTTTCCATCCCTACTTTGCACATACTATTATTTTACCTGATTTTGCAAGTAGCATGAGAACCAAATATAGAAAAACTTGTACCACTAAATGATAGACAAACATGTACCACTTAATGTGATGATTAACTATTTTTCTAAAATTAGTTTTAAATTAGTAATTAGAAAGTATTAAATTATTATTGGTTTTATTTTAAGTTATAGCTATGCCATTAATTAGTATTATTTTTTGGTTAATTTGACTTCTTATTCTTATGCATTGAGAAAAACTATAAAAGAAAATATGAGAACAACTATAGTACATTTTAAAAATTTCAAGGTATTAAAACATGATAGCAATTAAATATGAGAAAAAAAATATTTCTACACAACTAGAATTTTCTAAAAAAAAATTATAATTATTTTAATAGTACCCAACCATTTTCATTAGAAATCTTTGGGTCCAACACTACTTTTCATCCGATATTATCTTCATATAATTGACAAAACTTGCAAACTTTTAATACTAAAAACGAAAATGTCAGATTGTAAAGTCAATAATCAATTTATTAGAACATTCCATGTATGAATATTTGATGAAAAGGAAATTTACCTACATTTTTAATCAGTCTAACTCTTTAATTTATGTAACTTTTCTAGAAGTTCCTTGAATAATTTTTTACACATGCAAAATATGTTGATTTCTTGATCCATTCATTTATCGATTCGTATGCTAGCTAGAGACTTTTTCTTTTGAAGTTAATTGTATTGTTTCTTTTCTTGATTTTCGCTAAGGATTGAAATTACCATAAACATGTTCATGAAGACTATAAAAACAAATAGCAAGAAAATAAAAATGTAAAAAGACATCGATAAAATCTTTGGATTCAGAATCCGCTGGTAGTTATTTTTAGAGCAAATTAATAAGAATTATTTTAATCTTCTATATTACTTTCTTCTTATAAGAAGGAAAACCTTTTTGAATCGATGTTTTTATAAAAAATTTTTACAGAATATAATATTTGATGTATTCTAATAAGAAAAAGATAATGACTTTTGATAGATTAGCGTACTTTAGCATATGTTAAAAAATGATAAGAAATTGATTTTTATAAATAATTTAATGAGATGCGATTTTTAAGATATTTAAGTTATAAGTTTAAATTATAAAAATTTTAGCATTGAATCCGTTACATTAAATTATGAGCTCACAAATAATAATCTTTAAATTTTAAATAATTCTTACATAAAATTCAATCATTCGTATAAAAAAAATTGAATTTGAATTAATGTATAACAATATAACTTGATGAGTCCCTACTCCCTACAAATATGATACTTTGTAGTTGTATTTTTTCTACTATTATATATAAGAAAGGGGAATGAGACACAGCTAGCAGTCAACATGGCTGAAAGTGTATCTTGGCCTATTGGCCAGAGATTAACTTTCCATGTTCAAGGTCCCAGTTTCAAACCTTGGTTACAATTAGGGGTGTTTGTGATTCGATTTAGATCGATTATTGATTAAAAGTCAAAATCAAATCAATTTAATTGATTTTTTAAATTTCAAAAACCAAATTAAATCAAACCAAACGAAAAAAATAACTAACGATTTGGTTATTGTCGATTTGGTTCAATTTTTATGGTTTATTCAATTTGAAAGTAATAATTTTTTTGAGTATGTATGTATCTCGACAGATACAAACATCAATTACATGAGCAATTTACAGAAAAGTCAATGTCAGTTCAGTCAAGCAATTAAGCAAAAACTAAAAAATAGACTTGAATTTGAAATTGTTATACTTGGGCTGAAATGTTGGACTTGAGAAAATGATAAAGTTAAAATTTAAGTTAATTAAAATTTAACAAAATATTTTTAATTTATTTATAAATAATATATAAATAATTATAAAATCTATATATCTAATTTAACGGTTTGATTTGGTTATTTTTGCGGTTATATTTTATAAAATCAAAATCAAACCAAATAGTATCGTTTTTGAAAATTTAAAAATCAAATTTAACCAAACTAAATCAAATATCTATTTTTTTTAATCGGTTTGATTTGGAATGCGATTTAATTTGGTTGTTAACAATAACCATGAACAACCCTAGTTACAACCCTTTTCTTTAATTTTTCCTTTTTAATTCCTTCCAACTTTAATTTTATGTAAGTATTAATAATCAAAATTTAATTATTTATGTATTACTTATTTATATTTTAGTTATTTCATTTTTTTATTGAAAAAAATTAAAAAATTATTCTTTTGGTTCTATACAATTTTTTCGCAATTATAGAATCTTTTTTTAGCTCTGACGTTTAATTCTCCATCAATGTGCTTGCTTGTTGACGGAAGGCTATTCAGGTAATTTTAACGAGAGGCTATTCAGATAATTTTAACTTATAATAATGTCAATTTCTATCCTTTTTGTTGCAAATATTTATAGAAAATTGTCATTATTATGAAATAATAATATTTCATTTACTTACTTCAATATTTCCTAATAAAAACTCACTAACAACTTATTTTAATTTCTTAATAAAAATAATTTTAAAATATTTACTTATTTTAATATGTTTACCCACCCGTTTATTATTTTACTTTACTTAATACTTTCTAATAAAACTTACTAGTTACTTACTAAAGTATAAAATTGTTATTACTATTATTATTACTAATATTATTATTATTGTTATGAGAATGTTTCATTTTACTTACTTTAATATTTTCTAATAAAATTACAAATGGATTATTTTAATTCCATAATATAATTAATTATTAAATTTTAACTTATTTCATTATGTTTACCGACCCCCTCAACAATTAATTACTTTACTTACTTCAACACTTTATAATAATATTAATTAAGTAAATAAACTCCTAATAATATTAATAAATAAACTCCTCAAATTACTTTAATGCTTAATTAAATTAAGTTAATTTCATTGTCAATACATATAATTTAAAAGAAAAAATTTAAATCATGTTAAATATCTTAAATATTTCACAAATATTATTGAATCCGTACAAGCACGGGCTATCTTTTACTAGTCATAGGTTAGAAAGTCTATTTTGTAAGTGAATTGGCACGTACTCTAAGTATTTGCCTAAAAGGGAAATTCTTTAAGTATGCCATTTTGCACTTATATTATTATTTTACCTGATTTTGCAAGTTAGCATGACCACCAAGTATGGAAAAACTTTTGTACCATTAAATGTGATAATGAACTAATTTTTAATTTGTAATTAATTTGACAGTGATAAAACTAGTAATTAGAAAACATTTATCTCCATTGATTTTAACTTTTAAAGGTCTGTTCATTAATTTTAAATATATGTATTTTTTGGTCTATTTGACTTCTTAATTAATCTTATGTAAAAAAGACTAAACAGAAATCATGAGAAATTTCAACAAAGTTAAGGTACAAAAAACATGATAACAATTAAATCTAAAGGAAAAAACTTTGCAATACAACTGGCTAGAATTTTCAGAAAACTACAATTACTTTATTCTAATAATACCAAACCTTTTTCACTAAAAAAATTTGTGTTCAAACTTGCCAACTTTTCATACTGCAAACGAAAAGACCAAGTAAAGTTAATAATCAATTAATTTACTAGAACATTTTAGGAATGAATATTTGATGAAAAGAAAATTAACCTTCGTTTTTAACTTGTCAAACTCCTTATGCAAATCTTCAAAATGTTCCTTTAATTCTTCAATACATGCAGAACAAGTTGGTTTATCGATCCACTCATTTGCCGATTTGTATTCTTTCTTTTCGAAGTTAGTTTTATTGTTTCCTTTCTTCATCTCGCTAAGGATTGAAAACACCATATGAACGTTCATTAAAACGATAAAACAAATAAAAAGAAAAAAGAAAAAATGTAAAAAGGACGTCAACAAGAACTTTAGAGAAGCCATTTATAAATATTTTTAGAGCAAATTACTAAGAAAGAAACTTTATTTATTTTAATTTTGTGTATCATTTGCTTCTTATAAGAGGGAAAACCTTTTCAAATTAGATGTTCATATTATTTTTTTACCAAATATAATAGTTAAAGCATCTAAATAGGAAAATAATGAATTGGATAGATTAGCATATGAAAATGGTAAGAAATTTATTTTTATACTTAATGTAATGAGATGAGATGAACTGAATTTGAATCTATCTTAAAGAGACATAGATAATATATGGATAATTATATATTTTGGATAAGACATGAGATCCCTTTAAATTATAATAGAAATCACAACGATGACACAAGTCCTATTACCTCTTCTCCTCCTTTGAACTTAACTTTTTTATATTTTCGTACATATTTTACTCTGATATGATATTTCTAATAAGGTAAAATTGATTGCGTGTATAACACACACTGTCAAATATGTAATTTTCTTTCTGACATTTTTAAAAAAAATCATCTTATTTTCTTCATCGTATATTTAAATTAATAAGTTAATACATGTAACTTTTAAAAGAATTATTAATTATTTTGCCCTTTATTTATCCTTTTTTTCTTTCAATTTTTAGACTTCATTCATTGTTTTTTCACTCTTTTCTTCTATTGACTTTTATTTATTCCTTTAATTTTCTTTTGTCTTTCCTTTTGATTGGATTTCAGTTTTAATTTCAAATATTCTTGTATTTTAGTTAATTTCGGAAGAATATTAAAATGAGTGAGGAAAATCAAATAAAACCTACATAAATATTAAAATTAAAGGACATTTTTTTTATAAAAATATTATTATTATTATTATATGTAATTTTTAAAACAATTATAAGTTGAAAGATAAGAAGTTAGCAAAAGAGAAAAAAATAACTTTTTTTAAAAAATCATACTCCTTATGCAACATTTAAAAATGTTTTTTTTTATTGCAGAACAATTAAATTAATTTTTCGCTTCGTATCCTTAGAACAACCTTTTCTTTTTAAAGTTAGTTGCATGGTTTCCTCTCTTGACTCGCTAAGGATTGAAAGCATTATAAAAATGTCCATAAAAACGGTAAAACAAATTAACAAGAAAAAAAATAAAAAGATGTAAAAAGGACATCAACTAGAATTATTGGTGAACTTTTTTAGAGCAAATTAATATGAAAAAAGAAGCTTTATTTATTTATTTTAATCTTCTGTATCACTTTTACTTCTTATAAAAGGAAAAACTTGTTAAATAGATAATTTTTATAATTGTTTTACCTAATATAATATTTGAAGTATTCTAATAGGAATATAATGAATTTTGATTAATTAATATAGATTAGAAATGGTAAGAAATTGATTTTTATGATAAAGAAGAGAGTCATATATTGTTTTATTCGATAAATTCGTAATCTTTAGTTTTTCAAATTTGTACAATAGAATGTCAAGAAATGAATTCTTTTAGCTCTTGGCCAATTAAATCAATATCTTCCATCATTATGAGGATTCAAGAGTGGAAAAAAAATTAAGAGGAAAAAAACAAGTGATGAATGAATTGAAGTCAATTTTCAATGGAGAAATCTAAAGAAATCACCATATTTTTGGATTTAAATAAACTACTCTATTTGTCCTAATTTATATGAAACAATTAATATTTTGAAAGCCAAATAGTTCAAGTTTGATAAAAAATTTACGCATAAAATCTTTAATTTTTTTAAAATTGAAATTTACATATTTGTATATGTAAAAGTACTATGATCACAATGATTAACAATTAAAAGTTTTTTGGTCCAAACTTTACTTTTCATCCGGTAATGTCTTCACATAAGTGACAAAACTTGCCAACTTTTCATACTGCAAGAAAAAAGCCATATAAAGTCAATAATCAATTTACTAACAACATTTCATGAATGAATATTTGATGAGAAAAAAAGTTAACCTCCATTTTCAATTGATCAAATTTCTTATGCAATTTTTCAAGATGTTCTTTTGTTTCTTTGATACTATTAAGTTTGTGAACTCACACGAACACAGAAAGACAGAGGAACAGAAGAAGAAGAAGAAAGAAGAAAGAAGAAAGAAGAAACGCAGAGATAGTTTTGCAGGGAGAATTTGGAAGCAATCTGTCTTCCTTTTTCTTATTGATTACTTGTACATCTATGCTTCATTATATATATAGAGAATTACAATTGGTGTTAGTTTGTGACAAACTAACTCTTCAACTAACTATAACAAATCCTAACAGAAAAATGGAAAGCATGTGACAACCATGTGACTCTAACTAACACATGTGACTCCAACTAACATTTGAACTAACCAACCATAAAACTACACATCATCATATCTACATTTTAATACACCCCTCAAACTGAAGGGTGAAAGACATCTAGCACACCAAGTTTGGTCATGAGGAGATGATGTTGATTGGCCCCTAGCCCCTTTGTCAAAATATCAGCAGGCTGCATGGTAGTGGACAAATGTTGAATGTCAATGAACCCTGACTTCACCTTTTCTCGAATGAAATGACAATCAATATCGATGTGTTTCGTACGCTCATGGAAAACTGGATTCTCAGCTATTTGAATGGCTGATTTGCTGTCTGTGAACACTGAAATTGGAGTGGCACCTGAAAAATGTAATTCATTAAGTAAACCTGCTAACCAGATCAGCTCAGCAACAAGAGCTGCCAGACTTCTATACTCTGCTTCAGCTGAACTCCTACTTACTGTCTGCTGCTTCTTTGATTTCCACGAAATAAGAGAATCTCCAAGCTTTACCATGTATCCAGTTGTTGACCTTCTTGTGTTTGGACATGATGACCAATCTGAGTCAAAGTATCCTGTGAGTTTTGTAACCCCTGTACCTCTTCTAAGCATTACTCCAAGTCCTGGGGATCTTTTTATGTATCTTACTACCCTTAATGCTGCCTCCCAATGTGAAACCTTAGGGTGCTGCATGAATTGACTCAAAACTTGAACACTGAAACAAATGTCAGGTCTGGTAATTGTCAAATACAGCAATTTACCAATCAATCTTTGGTATGCTGTAACATCTTCTAGCTCTGCATCATCAGATCCACCAGTGTGTTGATCAAACTCTACACTAGTCAACTTTTGATTGAATTCTAAAAGAGTGCTTACAGTCTTTGCTCCACTCAATCCAGCCTCTGAGATTAGTTGTAAAGCATACTTTCTTTGATTCAATAACAACCCTTCTTTGGACTTCAAGATTTCAATCCCCAAAAAATATCTGAGGCTTCCCAAGTCTTTCATTTTAAAATTTTTGTGTAATGTGTCTTTGGCTTCTTGAACCATTCTGGAGCTATTTCCAGTTATCAAAAGATCATCAACATATACTAAAATCACAATCATTTCAGTTCCTTCCTTTCTAATAAAAAAAGAGTGATCATGAACACTTTGAGAGTATCCTGCTTCCAACAATGCTTCGGTGAATTTAATATTTTATTGTCTAGAAGCCTGCTTAAGACCATAAAGTGACTTCCTTAGCTTGCAGACCTTAGATTCCCCCTGTCCTTGGAAGCCTAGAGGAAGTGCCATGTATATGTCTTCAATTAAATCACCTTGCAAGAAAGCATTGTTAACATCCATTTGAGATAAATCCCAACCATAAGAAGCTGCCAAGCTAAGAACAGTTCTAATAGTAACCATCTTTGCAACTGGAGAAAAAGTGTTATGATAGTCAAGTCCCTCTCTTTGAGTATATCCTTTGGCAACTAGTCGAGCTTTGTATCTATCCACATCACCATTAGACTGAAACTTTATCTTGTATACCCATTTTGATCCAATTGCTTTCTCACCTGGAGGTAAGTCTACAATTGTCCAGGTTTTATTATCTTCTACAGCCTTAATCTCTTGTTTCATAGCATCAATCCACTTCTTATCTTGTGATGCTTCATGAAAAGATTGAGGTTCTACAGCTGCTGAAAAAGCTTGTAAATAAGATTGATATCCTGAGGAGACATTGTCATAACAAACATGATTAGTGATAGAATGAGGACTGGATTTATGAGGCACAACATAATCTTTGATCCACACAGGTGCCTTGTTTGTTCTGGTAGTCTTTCTGGATCCAACCTTACTTGGAGGTTCATTATGAGAACTATGAGAACTTTCCTGCAGACCATCAGTGTTATTGGAAATCTCTTCAATATGAGTATGACATGGGTCCAAGTTTACATCATTACTAGCATCATCTACATTATCAAGGAAAGGTGCTAGCAAAGGACAAGGACCTGTATCAGCAGATTGCATGAGCTTAAAAGGAAACACTGTCTCTCTGAATACAACATCCCTGCTAATGAACATAATTTTAGCCTCAAGATCATATAGCTTATATTCTTTCTGTGTGGAAGAAAAACCCATTAAAACAACTTTCTTAGCTCTAGCTTCAAACTTTCCACCTCTTGGTAATGTAGTAGCAAAACATAAACATCCAAAAACTCTTATATGTTCTAGTTTTGGAGCCTTTCCAAACAACCTTTCATAAGGAGATTGTCCATTCAACACACCAGTAGGTAACCTATTAATTAAGTAGACTGCAGTTTGTACACATTCACCCCAGAATCTACTAGGAACATGAGACTGCAATTTTAAAGCTCTACTTGTATCAAGTATATGCCTATGTTTCCTTTCAACAATACCATTTTTTTGTGGAGTATATGCACAACTACTTTGATGTATAATACCAAAAGAGGACAACAACTCATTTACTTGAATGTTAAAGAACTCAGTTCCATTGTCAGATCTCAACACCTTTATTGCACAATCAAATTGATTACAAACCATTGCTATAAAACTTCTCAAAACAACTACTACATCCTTCTTATTTTGCAGTAAAGAAACCCATGTAAATCTGCTAAAGTCATCAACTATAGTCAGAAAATATTGTTTTCTATCATAAGTTGGATCTTTATGAGGTCCCCAAACATCTAGATGTACCAACTGAAACATCTTATTACTATGAGTAACACTAGAAAGGAATTTGAGTCTACATTGTTTTGCCAAAGGACAAATAAAACAATCTTCATGTATAGTCTCAACCAGTTTATTCTTCAATATATGTAGATGCTGCAATACTTTCAAAGAAGGATGTCCTAGTCTAAGGTGCCAAAGTTTATGTTCTTCTGAGTTCTTGCTTTTGAATGCTGCTCCAACAGTAGCTATTACTTCTTGTCTGAGAATATACAAGCCATCACTCTCCTTACCAATCCCAATCACCTCTCCAGTAAAGAGAGCCTGCATTACACATAAATCAGGATAGAAAGACACACTACATTTTAGATCCTTGGTTAGTTTAGAAATTGACAGCAAGTTGAACCTAAAATCTGGTACATGCAAAACATTTTTTAACTCCCAGTTCCCCAAAATCACTGCATCTCCTATATGTTTCACATGAATTTTATTTCCTGTTGGCACTTGCACTTTATTACAACTGGATTCTGATAACTTTCTACATTCACTCAATATACTTTCACAGCATGTAATGTGATATGTTGCTCCTGAATCAATAATCCATCTCACTGCATTTCCACTATCATTAACATTTAAAGGATTCATACCTGCAGCATTAGCCTCAGCCCTGCAGTTTCCTGTAGGTGAAGAAGGAGATAACATCTTAGTAACTTGCTCATATTGCTCCTTTGTGAAATAGCCTCCTGGAAAATAGAAGTTTGATGCTGATCCAGATCCAGATGACTCAGAAGTGAAATTATTTGCATATGCTTCATTCATAGATCCAGATCCCTTCCTCTTGCTCTTAAAATCTGCTGGAAATCCTACAATTCTATAACAACTTTCTCTGGTATGACCTTTGTAACCACAGTGATCACAAACTAATCTCATCCTTCTACCAAGTGAATTCTGACCCTGAGTCTTCTTAGTATGCAAGCTGTTGTT